ATATTTATATATTTATATATATACATATATATATAATATCCTCAGATCAATTCTGTTGACTAGTGATTGTTCATGGCAATAGATCGATAGAACTAGCTGAGAGCCATGCGGAACGAATGACCCGCAGGGTGTGGTGCTGAGTGCGTTACTCTCCAGAAAGGACAATAGCGCGTTCGTTCTCCACCACAGACACCTGCGGCCCGGAGTTTTGCAAATATATCAGCATCATTGAAGTTATATTTCGCAATATACCCTGCCGTTAAAAAAAGAGTGGACAGTAAATAATAAGTTGAAATAAGTGCAGTTGCAAAATGTTGCTTAAGAAGGATCGGTCTAGAGAATTCGGTAATAGTGATTGGAATGCCACCGGACACTCTAGGACTGCACCTAGTTCGTAACCGCCTGTATGGTCCTAGACGCGCAGAGCAAAACTGCATAATATTCCCTAACTGTAGAAACGGTGAATGTGTTCTGGTATGGCTTACTTTAATCTCTTGTAAAGCCTGCGGAATGAATATAATGGGAAAGCGGGAAGACCACTCTGCCTCCGGGTAAAAGAACCTCTAGTCGGTAAACTTAAAGATAAACCAAGCACTCCACTAGGCATGCATAGGACACGGCGAAAGAAATAACGGAGATTTTCAAGTAAAAGCCATTATTCTCCCACAAAATGTATTCTTTCTTTGATGAGCTTACACGAGGTTGATAATGATATTTATTTTCGGCTAACGTTTCGACGTCTTCGTCTTCCTCAGAGCCGGCGATCCGAGTCGATGGTCCATGCTTGTTATTCGTCTCGACGTGGCAGCTTCGCCTTCGTGTCGAGTCACGTCTTCTTCGTTGAGCCATCTCCCCGAATGAGGCATCCTCACTCAATGATGCCCTTTTATACACGATGCTGATGATCGATATAATGATAATGTCCGGTAGTACCAATTTGTTTTTTTTCCGGACATATATCATTGCGCACATCGTGCAGAAGTCGGTGTTGTTATCAGCTAGCACAAAGCGTAATAATATTTCGAAATCGACTTTCCTTGAACCTCGGTATCATTAAGGAAGACGAAGACGTCGAAACGTCAGCCGAAAATAAATAACATTATCAACCTCGTGTAAGCTCATCAAAGAAAGAATACATATTGATTAGTGATACCGAGGTTCAAGGAAAGTCGATTTCGAAATATCTCCCACAAGAATCGAATCTCTGGCGTATAAAACTGCCTAGATTTCCGGATAAGTTTCGCGATTCCAAAAATTAACGGCTGGGAGGAACGTCTCGTTTTCACGCGTGATCTCCCACAATATCTCAGAATGATATTTTAATATAAAGGAGCAGCATTATCCATCGATGCAGACTCTGTGCGGTTGGTGGCCACGTGGAATGCTCAGTGGAAGACTCAAAGAAATCGGTGCGTGTGCGAAGGAGCTATTTTGTTTTCAATGCGATTGAAATCTTGGTTTCGTCACTTTTCTGTTTTGATTATGGAGGTGTATGGCTTATTAGATTTGCAGTAAACTTGACCTTCGTAGGCTCTGAAGAAGGCGAAAATCGCCAAAACATAAGCTTTTGTAAATAAAGACAAGAGAAAAGGAGAGTTTGCATATCGAAAAAGGACAAGTTTGCGTAGGGGATAGAAACGAGAATGAAAAACATCTTGATCCGAGAATGACCCGGATGGTGTAGTGGTGAAGCGCGCTGCTCCCCGGTAAGGACAACAGCGCGTGTTCGTTCCCCACTGCATACACCTGTGGTCCGGAGTTTTGCAAATATCTCAGCACTTCATACAAGTTATATTTCACAACATACCCTGCCATTAAGAAGAAAAAGGCAGTAAATAAAAGAGTTAAGATCTTTGTAAGAATCCAAACTATAGCGGGTTTTACAACATTGCTTTTCCACAAGAATTCATTTTTCAGTAAGAATGAACATCGTCATGAACATGTCAATCACATTGTGTTACACGAAGTTGGAAAAGAGTTTATACCATTCATTTGAAATACCGTTGATAGTAAGCGCGATCAGCCGAAAATCTTTGTAGGACTCGTACATGTACAGAAGATAAAAACTTCTTATACGCAGCGCAAAAGAAAAACCTCATTTAAATATCACCGGAAAACGCCATTTAAAAGATATTAGAGGAACGAAAAGCCGATAAATAGACGCTCCACGCACTCAATGAATGATAGCGAGATCATTGTCATCTCCTCAGTTCTTCTTCTACTTAACAAGGTAAAACCTGGGTAGGCGTGGCGAATTGGTCGGAAGAACCCTGCAGTACACATGGGATCGATCTCCACGCCCATGGTTCACCAATCCCTCCATCCTTCCGTATGGAGTCGGGAAAGTTGTACTAACCTTGTTAAGGAGGATAGCGGCACTGGATCGCTACATCGGTAGGCACTGCGCGTTAATGTAAAGGCCACATATGCATTCAGTCACCTCTAACGATGCTTAGTGCAGTCGTATGCACGGCGGATCGCTCAGGAATTGATCAACGCCGAGAGCTCCAACTTTTATCCTTTATCAGCTCCGCTGAATGAAGATGCCATTTCTTCTACGCCTTGCCTCACAACAGTAATAGAAACAGTAGGGAAATAACAATGGAAAAATTCTGCATCAATTTTATCATTCGTTCCATAACCCATTTAGCATACTGCAAAATGAAGATTTGCAAATTGCAAAATTGTACGAGATTTTTCCCGTGGAAGTTTGGTTTTCCGGCACAAACGGGAACAGAGGCATAGCTCCAATGACCGGCCAGCGGCACAGATCACATATTTCAAAGTGGAAGTTAGAAAGCATATGCACTTTCCGCAACCTACACGATAGTATATTTTCATAAAAGAAGGATAAAGCTCGGTGTTGATCAATCCCTGAGGGATGCGCCATGCATTCGACATCCCTTAACATCGTTTCGAGGTGATTTGAATGCATATCTGGTCTTTACGATGACTCGTGGTAGCCTACCGATGTATCGACCCAGTGCTACTATCCTCCCAGACAAGTCTGGTACCAATTTGCCGACCCCGGAAAGAAAGAAGGCTTGGTGGGCCGTGGACGCGAGAATCGATTCGTGTGTGTCGCAGTGGCGCCTCCAACCACTACGCCACATGCACCCTATATCACAGCATCTTGCAGTAAATGTTGTTTGATATTTGATGAATGAATGACCTGTCCTCACTGGTTATGCGGGGCCCAGCACAATCTCCATTTTTCGGAGATTTGCTGGTTAAGCCATTGTGGTTCCCTGGAATCCTGAGGTCAGCCTGGCCAAAGTCTGCCCCAGGTTTTCACCACCACAGGCAGTCGCAGCCCTTGTGAATCAGGGATTTACCACCATGCGACGTTGATACCAAGACGGTGGCGGATCCTGGTATTGGTTTACTCTCAGCCAGGTTTCCTGATGGAAACGCTGGACCCCTACTCAGCTTGGGAGACGGTGCCAGGGGATGAATCCCCGCTGTACATCGTAGTCCAACACCCAGGAACGCCCCCCAGCCACGATGAGCCGGTAAACCGTTGGGAGGATTGTAATATATCTGCTATTCATTATACAGGAAAGGTTTACACATTGTTCTCTCTGCGACCGCAGATTGGGTGGCGTTCGTATCGACAATATTGAACACATTTTCGCAGCCTCAAAAGTTGGCGTGAGAAATATAGTTTCCCCAGCAAATGTTCGTAACTCCTAGGTAGTGTTTTTTGTGGCAGAACAGCAAGACTACTTCACAAATTTCCAAAGTATTTCGTTTTTTTTCCCTCTGAAATTTCCAGGTAACTTTACTAGAGCGTTCTTAAGCCGTCCTCACATGCAGTGACGAACTAATCTGGATGAGGGGAGATTTACTCTCCAGTTGTTAGGTTTATACTAGGACGATGAACACCACATACTCTATAGTAATTTCAAAATAATTCAAAGCTTAATAATTTGCATTATGTTATCACGCAGCATTGGGACAGGAAACCTGGCGTGTAGCAGCTGCTTAACTATCTGCAGGTACCAGTGAGAAGTTGAAAATTACGCCAACTTTATTGGATTAATATGGAAATACACATGTAGAACGTAAAGTACACGTATGTAGATTACCATTATTACGTATTGAAATTGTCATATGATCCGTTAACAACTAGCACGCAGTAAAAATAATAGAGAACCATAGAAAGCTGAGCGAAATCCAAGGAATAGAAATGAAACTTTACAGATAGTAGTGAACGTAACGGTGATTATGACTACACGTCGGTAGGACTACGACGGGCAGATTGGTCAGGATGAGCGTCCTTTTCGCCAATTTTTATTGTACCATGATCCATATAGTCCTCAAGAGTGGGAGCAGAACTTATAGCAGGATAATAGCCCTGAAAATAGAACCGGCATGATTCTTGCTAAAGCAGTTTCATCCAAGGTTAGTGAAGAGGTCTAGTTTTTCAAAAACCTGATCGGAAGAGGGCTGCCGGTTGAAGCCAACAAAATGTGGTGGTCGCGAATGCTTCTCGATCGGCGATAGAATAGGCTGTTTCTTTATAGAATTATTCAACAAATTCTAAAGAAAAAACACCAGATTAAGATGCTGTGCCCGATCCTAGTTAGTGATAGAAATCTAAAAATCGAATTGTTCACTAACGTCAAACAACCTATGCGCTCACTGCAAAGTGACCTTATTTCAAAATCGAAAGATTGCATTGCGTAAAAATTGATGGATAAGTAAATAACCGAAGTTTATGTTTTATATAATAATTCCCGTTTGGGAAAATTTCAGCCATGCTGTACGCCAACATGACTCTCCAAGGCTCAGAAGAATAGAAAACTGCCTATTGGTCATTGGCGGTGAAATAAGGATGAGTCAGATTTTCGAAGAGCACTCCAAAAAATCCGGACGATACATGAGTTACGACCATGGAAACTCGGTAGGAAAACAAATGATCAGGTATCCACTACGTTTAACAAGTTTGAATTCTAACTAAATGAATTCATGTTAGACGTTCGACCATGAAGTACATCTTAAAGAAAACTTGGAAAAACACTCACATCATTTTCGCAAAATATGGCATACACTTTACTGATTAAATCAAATGCAATCCGACCGCCAGCGTGTTCACGAACGAACAGCAACAATAGCACACCGTCTGGATGGAGGCACTCCTGCATAAAATGCCTCATTTCGGACTGTGCCATGGTTCGCTGCAACATTACCGTTCAGTATGACATCACTGTGTATTAAGATAACAGTAGCTTAGGTCCTTCTACAACAGAAACCTACATTACTGCCATTGTCGAAATTGAAGTAAATAAGCTTCGCTCGAAGAAAAGGCACTAGCATAAATATCGAGAAATAGGCGAAGTTTATGACAGTCACGACTCCCAAGAAGAAAAACCTAATTTGGTTAAATATAAGGAATACACAGCTCGATTTAATGAGAAAACAATGTTATGCCAAAAAACTGCCAGATGGAACTACGCAGAAACAATAATTCTAAAATGAATACCAACCAAAAATATAAGAAGAGATATAACTTCTCGTTTATCATATTCATCATTATAACACATTGGACAGTGTGCCTTTGAAGGTTCGCCAGTCGACGAATCTGCAATCAGGCTTTCCCAGTCACTTATGACAGAGTGGATGAATGAGCGTATTGGTCGGAAACTTACCTGGAAATCGCACATGATCACACGCGGAAAAATGGATGTTTCTTTCCACTCCTTTCCTTGAATTATATTTGAAGACATCTGAAATTGAAAAAACTTTTCAGCTTATATTATCGCTCTTAAACACAAAGAGTCTTTCACTGCGAACACACCTCGTAACCCCATTGCAGATAGTTTTCTCCTAAGAAATGGTTTAATATAATTATCTGTAAGCAGATGTTAACCACGTAAGCAGCCTTTGTAAGCAGGTACAACAAAGTTGCATTACAGCCTGATCGAGGCGCTGTATACCCCTGAAGTATCTTCCTTCAAAAAAGAAAGAAGCGAAGTGTCCCAAGAAAAAATCATCCTATTTATGAGAAAAAATAATCCGAAAAGCAAATGTATGGACAATGAAAAACATTTTCAAAACGTGCCCACACCCTAGGACTCGTTCTGTATGTGTTCACTGGAACCGATACATATTCCTACGTATGAATCTGCATATACAAAAACGTTTATCAGCATTTGGATGAAAAAAAAACTGTCGGAGTTGCCCCTGTTTTATTCATCTGTTCATTTTGAGCTCGCTTTCCTAGTTCATTTACGTAAAGGCTGCTATTTTTTCTGTTTCCCGCAGACGTCGCTTGTTGGACTTTCTTGTGCGGCTCCTGGATAGTTGCGACTTGCTTCACACTCCTGCAGAGTAGAAATGATGTTGAAAGCAACCCAATGTGGGAAACCTTCCGAACAGACCTTTGGTTGAAGGCATCTAACATAAATCAACGCGCAAGGGGCAAGTACACATGTGCGTTTGTATGAATACGATTACACTGTATGAAGACGTAGGTCATTATAATTTAGGTGAGACATGGAAACGGAATGAACTGCCATTCCAGCGTGAGTACACGGTCGCCTTTAGTTACCTATCCCCTAGTCGCGAGGCAGCGTGGCGCGCTTCCACGTGACGGATAGGGGATTAATGGCGGACCAAAAGCAACTTTGCTTCCCTGAGATTTAGAAGGGCAAAGAAAATGGACCTTTTCTTTTGCCTTGCATCTCTGGCACATACTTTCTGTGTTTACGAGGACGTATCCATGCATGCATGAGTGGGTGTGTTCTCGTTTACGCGGGTTATACTCGACGAGTTAAATCGGCCAAAACTCGACTGACTAGGAAGTACATGGGAGGCGATTAGGCGTACGTGCGTATCAAATACTAAACACTGTGAAATAAACGAGCTTCATTCTCCTGATCTCGAAGACTCCGCCAATACAACAGCGATGGGACGGAGCAGTAAGGAGAAGGTGAGATCTCAGTGACATTCTAGAGTGTCTAAATTGCAAAAGATTAGAGTGGTGATCTGTACCTACAATGCATGGACACTAACACCTGAGTCCTCGATAGAAAACTTGACCGTCTGTGTGGGGAAGAAGGATAAGGTACGACGTTATCGGCCTGACCGAGAAGATACGACGCCACCCATTCAACGCCGTCTATGACACCGGAGAAGAACTGTTCCTCGGAACATGCCACTGTAGAGGAGTCGGTGGAGTCGGCATTCTCGTCAACACGAGTTTGGTCATGAATATTGATTCATTCGAACAGTTGACAATCCGAATCGGACTTCTATGATTGAAGAAACGAGTATCAATACCGGTTTTACAATCTTTGTCGCTTATGCATCGGCATAAAGCTATAATGGAGACGAAACAGAAGCGCTCTTTATCGACTTGGAGAAGCTCCATAGGGAAGACCATACAATTATTGGAGATTAGAACGCTAAGAATGGAACAAGAAGAACGACTGAAGAAGAAGAACTTCAAACTGAAGGAGAACTTCATATAGGGACCTGCGGATTAGAATGGAACGAGCAGGGTAGAGAAGTTGTCTGTCTCTATAATAACGACGAAGACCACTCTTGGTAACCAGCAATTCCAGAAGCCCCACTCTCAACGCTGGTCGTGGAAATCTCCAATGGAGAGTGCCATAAAAAAATGGACCACTTCATGGTATATCGATGGTTTTGCCTAACCGATGACACCGTAGTCCCAAAATTCTATACGACTCGAAAAGGAGAAAAAGCCGCTAAATTCAAAAACGAAGTCCCAAAACCACTATAAATTGGGACTTATTCAACTCATTAGTCAGCTCTTGGGAAGATGCCGTTGTCGATAACATCGACAAAGAACACGATCGGCGCATTCAACACCGTCACGTTTGCGATATGAAAACTGAGAGTTCGAAAGTCACCAAGAGACGTCTACATCCGGAAACACTCGAGCAGATATGCCAGTATGGAATCGCAGGAGCTGTAGACAACCGCGGACTAACGTCCGAGCTTGAAGAACAATGCAGACAGGCGATAAAAGAAGATCTTAGAGAGAAGAGCAGCAGTAATGGTCGAAGCCGCAGAGGCTGGGAAAAGCATTCTCAAAGCCCACTGAAGCTTCGCCAATTACATGACCACGATGATTGCACTCAGACGCCCAGACGGAATAGTTACAGCGTCCAGAAAGGTAATGGAGGAAATCGTTCACGAATACTACTCAGATATTTTCGATAACCACGTCCACCTTCTGTCATATGAAATAAAGGAGGATGGATATGTTGTACCCCCGGTTCTCCCTTCCGAAATTCTGCCAGTTCTCACAAACACACTGCCCCGACTATTCACAAGTTACATGTCCGAATTCAAGGTTGATAGTCAGTGGAGAACCAACAAGACCGCTCCACTATTCAAGGGTTACCTCCAAGATATCGGAAACTATCGCCTAATCTACTTACTGTCTTTAACAAACTTTTAAATCGAGTCATTCTAAACACGATTGACAGAACACTAGACGAAGGACAGCCATGTGAGCAGGAACGGTTTTGAAAGGAATTCAGAACGATGGACAATGTCCACAAGACAATAACACTCACTGAAGTACAACGAGAGTACAGCAGACCCCTCTGTCTCACTTTCGTCGATTTAAAGAAATTTTAGCTCAACTGAGATAGACGCAGTCATGAAAGCCCTGGACACTCTGGGAATCCCAACAGTATATAAAGATTCTTTGTGAAATGTAAAAATTTCACAACCAGGATATCATAATTCTACAACGATATTAACATCGACATCAAAAGAGGGGTTAGCCATTGCGATACCATATCGATAAACTTATTCACTACCAAACTCGAGAAGGTCACGCGAACACTGGCACAGGACAACAAGGGGTTAAACTCGATGATCGACATTTTCACAATGTTCGCTTTCCTATTGGCAACATGCTTGTAACAGCAAACATTAGCCAAGCAGAACGAATGCTTGCTGATTTTGATAAAGCCTGTGGAAAGATTGGTCTTCGACTAAGCCTCACAAAAACGATGTTCATGAGGAACGGAACGATTATGTATGTCCCATTCATGCTCAACGGAACGAGTATATCCGAATGCTCCAGTCACGTCCACCTAGGTCGGGAAATAAACATGATGAACGGCTTAATTTGAGAGTTTACCGGAATGAAGCACCTGGTTTCTGGAGCTTACAAGAGCATCGAGAGTGCAGTGAAGACGACAATGTACAACCGACTTCGCGCCCGTCTTTTCGACGCCATGATTCTTCCTGCTTTAAGAAATGCGTCTCGTTGCGTATTCAGGATGAAACACCACTTGACGTTATATAACGCGGAGGCGAAACGATGCCATGAGTGTTCTGTATAGTGCATGTAAGAGAGAGGATCTGAACTTCCGACCTACGTCAACGATCAAAAATTAAAGACGTCGTTCTATACGCTAAACTGTCCAAGATGAGGTGGGCTAGACACGTATCCCTTGCACACGACAGGGAAAAATGAAAGATTTATCGGCACCCGCTCCAAATACTCGACAATCAACGGGGCGATAGGTGAAACAGGTGAGGTGATGCTCTATCGAACAACATGCAGTATAACTACGAAGCGGGTAAACATCATTTGTACGAAAGAGGCGCGTGGACCAATACAGTATGTACTTAAAATTACACAGCCTTACGTATGTCTTTGGCAATATTAGTTGTTCGTATGCTTCATTTAAGAACGTACCTTTCCTCTCATGTCTGACCTCGATCCGAATACAGATAAAATATCTAGGAGATGATTTGCCATTGTTTTCACCTGTTGCTCCCTTTTCTCGCCTGTCATGTATCTTATCTTCGCTATCTCAGTAAGGAACGCTCTTGGATTGATAGCTAAAAAATTTGATATGCTCGAAGATAGGATGTATGAACTAACCACACAAAAAGTACGCACCTGTCTGCTTATGCAACATGTTCCATATCCAATTAGGGATAAAGAACATGACAGCCTAAACCAGTTCCTTAACATATTGAAAATAATTTAAACCATGCAAACTCTTTATTTAGCGTTATCGCACCTGTAGAGCCAACATTATAGGGACCCATCGATAGTAGCTGATATGATCTCTACGATGATCAATATCTGATGGAATTTCCTCATTAAATGGCACATAGTACGAATTCGCAATAAAGCAGTAGTCTTCAGCATACTTCTCCCATCCTCCTGTAAAATTGTTCTACAAAATTGTTTTTTCTTTTGTAACGCTTCATCGCTGAATGTGATTTAGATATAAAACATGTGAAAACGTAAATGAAAATGCAAGCTGGATAGGTGTGCCCTTGTATTCTATCGCATTACCTCTAGTTCGATTTCATGCATGACCAGAGGCATAAAGAGGACTCTATTTGGTCATAAGCAAGGTAGAAAAACTAACTCATGTGACTAAGCCGTAGAATATAAAAGAAACATATTGTAGAAAGACGTAATGCAGAGACATAGATGAAAGCATAGCTATATTTTCATGTATAGGGGCACCTAAAGTAGGCCTTAGCAGCAAGACCGAGCAAGTGCATCATATATATATATATATATATATATATATATATATATATATATACATATACATTGGAGGTACTGGGACATTTCCACACATTGAGCATAGACGTGCGTCATCTTTTGTGAAATTGAACCAGCCAGCTGATTTCAAACAACTCTGGTACCAAGTTCACGACACCAGAGGAATAAGGACAACAGTTGTACTAGGCGCCGTCGAACTAGGACCTCATACGTAATGGACGCCATCACCACCATTATGTTGCTTGCGCCCAAATGTATATATTTATACAAATTCACCACTTTATTTACAACCATGTTAGGGGGCGCGCATTGCAACGATGTAGTGATGCCGACCATCGCGAGCATGGTGGTGATTTGATCCTGCCACGGCTCACCAAGCTTACCATATCTCCATTGTCGAGAAACTCATATCACACGTGTATGGGAACAGTTTACTGCTTGCAACTCAAGTAAGAACGGCCTAGTCAGGCTATCCCAGGACTCTAGATAGAACCGACTTGACCAGCATTTAACGACATTCATTAAGAAGACGACAATCCTCAACGAACAGTCGAACACACCGTACGATTTCACATCATATATATTTATTTATTCATTTCACATGACTTCCAACGGTTTACAGCCTAATCGTGGCTGGGAGGTGTTTTTGCGTGTTCAGCTCCCGGGCTGAGAGAGAGCCCGGCGTTTCCATCAGGAAGTTCAGATAAGAGTAAATCAATACCAATACCAGGATACCACCGTCCTGGTATCAAATTCGCATAGTGGCAAATCTCCCTCTGATTCACAATGGCGGCAACTGCCATCGATGGTGACGACCTGGGACAGATTTTGGCCTGGCTGATCTCGAGACTCCAGGGAACCACAATGGTTAAACCAGCAAAACTCCAAAAAAAAGGTAGAAATTATGCTGTGGCCCGCACAACAAGTGAAGACGAGCCATCTAAGTATTCAAGTACCGAAGTAGTATTTCACATAACCCGTTATGACATCTACTATGCGGATCCCAGCACTTCTTGGAAACGATTCGTTTTCCTCGCATTCACCCTTCACAAAGATCTGCGAACATTTCGCGTGTTTCGGTTGCTGCCTGAGAATTCCATCTTCTATGAATGTCGTAGAATACTGGTTGAGTTTATTCTCCGCGCAATCTTGGAGATAGCATAACTAAGGCGCTTCCACTGGATTGGGGAGAGCGCTGGAGAGAGGGATGAACTAGAACCTTGGCTCTTGATGGACTGTATCACTAAGCACTGCATTATCCCCGCTTCCTTATCAAATATATTACGACTTCCAAACAAAGCCCTACTCGGATCACAATGCTCTTACCTGTGTGTGATAAAAGAGGGCGAAAGGCCATTCGTTTTAAATACGTGGAGGAAGAACAAGGAAAAATCAATGCAACCATTCCATTTCAAGATCATTTAGTACTGTCTTCCAATATAGCTCGAAGATGTAATTTTGAGTTTTATCGAAGCAGAATTTATGCAGATTTCAACAAAAACTCTGTCCATGAATAATGAAATTGGTGCTGTACATATTGAGTTGGATTAGAAGTAAAGAACAGCTAATGGCATAAATATGGAAACCTAAACAAACCTCTGAATTCACTGGGAACCCAGCACTGTATTGGTGATCCGAAATACTGCTTTGCCGAGATCGCTAACGCGAAAAAAGCAAGAATGAGTGACGTCACGTAGTAGTTGAGATAATCAACCGAGTCAGCGACCTTAATAGCAAAATCACGCGAAATTTTACCTGAGAAGTAAGTGCGTAGAACGAACCTTTTGTCTTTTGACAGTTTTTTGGATGAATTTGCTTAGGAATGGTATGCTGAGCATTATTGCACTGAAGAAAAAGAGAACACGAAATAGAACAGAACTATTTGTGGAAATTACAACGAAACATCATCATCTAGATATGTGCAGAATAACAGAAATTCGAACATAACCGGCCACGTGAGACCGTCCCCAAAGAGAAGGTTAGTACATATTTCAACAAAACACGAAATCCTTCGATAGAACTTGTAGATTTCAATTTCACGAACCCTCTTAATGTGCTGAAAAAGGGCACGAAAACTCCAATAAACAATTGATATTTGAGAATATAGTTAATGACTAAACTGAAGGGTTAGCCCATAAGAAAATAAAGGCTAAAGCGTACGACATTGATCAATCGCTGATGGATGCGCTGTGCATTCCATTCCACCAACTATTGTTAAACGTGACTGAATGCCTATCTTGGCTATATATAGTGACTTCCGTTGCCCTACCGATTTATGAATTCAACGTTGCTATCCTCCCAGGGTGGCCTGATAATAATTTGCCCGCACCGCAGAGGTGGAAAGCTTGTTGAGCTTGTGGCGCGGGATCGAACACGTATTGCAATGCACCTCTAACCACTGCACTAGATGCACCCTTGTTTATCCATGAGTTGAAGCAATAAGAAAAGAGCATAACCTATCCTTAAGGGATACGCTATGAATTTGATTCCATCAAACATCGTAGAAGTGAATAGTTATGTGACCTATACAGCTGCGGTAGGATACCCATGCAAGTGTTTGTTACCCTTCAGAACAAACGTGCTACCAATTTGTCGACTCCGAAGTAAGGACGTTGTTTCTCTGGGCGTGGAATAGAACAAATGGAATACTTCACGCCGCTTATGTTGGTGTTATTAGCAACCATGATAAGCTCATGTAAGTGACTGGATGAAACTAACTTCGCTAGAAGGAAAATCACTTCACGAGAACAGAGTTAAACAACGAAAAATGTCATACGCTCAACAGCATATCACATTGGTGCTTGATAAAATTACACAATTGTATTACGTCGTTAAGTAAGGAAATTAAGTGTGTCAGATTCTGGATGATGCGGTCGTCTATTGAGTTCAGGCCAAATGCAGTGATTATCTACTTAACGGCAGTAGCGGCACTGGTTCATTATGCACTACGAAAAAGCATGTAAAATGTTGCTTTTTATTTACTGCCTGCAACAATTTTTCACGACAGGAAATTATGTGAAATTCAACCACAAAAAATAATACACGAAAAGGGTAATAACGTGTTCGATCCCCACCGCAGAAACCTGTGGTCCGGAGTTTTGCAAATATCTCAGCATCATCGTGGTTGAATTTCACATGTAAAGAGCTTTCAGACAACTGACCTACTCGAGGTTTGGGAAAATACGCATATTCGCTGCCTACGAGATGAATGACTAAGATAGTGATTAAGAAGATGAAGATTTCTTCAGAAAGAACTGGAGTCGAGATCAATAATTGGTGTGCGCAGTGGCATGAGCGCACTAGTAGAGGTCAGCGCGGCATTGAGCTTGCCATCCGCTCTGGGTCATCGTCGGCGTAGGCTAGAGGTGTCCAAATAGCGGCCCCGACCCAATTCCTCCAATCAATCTATTGACAATACCACAGCTTTGTGCACTCCGCTGTGGGATCTTTTGATTGCACAAACGATGGGTAATCGAGGAGACAAAGAAGCATGGAGACTGAGTGTTCAGCTCAAGAAGTGCTTATACGATCAACATACAAGTCTGGCTGTTCATGTCAAGCTCTTGTTCTTTCTTCTTAACCGAGACGTACTTAGCCCGCAGATTTGAGTCGAATGTTTGAAAAGAATTCAGAAACGATCATAAATGTTTAACGACAGTGAAGTTGTTATACATATAGGACGTCACTTATATTAAGAGGAAGTCGAAATATCATTCTACGATTTAAGGAAAGTCACGATGTCAGCAAGTCAGTAGGCCAGGAAAAAAATAATGTCAGTGTCGCATCACCTCACCGCAACCAACAGTTTACATATCTCGACGAAAGAAAAACAAAATTCCCGCCAAACATCCATCGTCGTTCCCAACGCCGAAATACGAAAATAACTTGCTACTAAATCGGTACAAAAATGATCGTTATTTAAGTCAATCAAAGACCACAAATATTTCTGGAGTGGTAAAATCAAGCCAAATTCCATGGTTTAAGCTTTCAGTGCAACTGGAATACGTAGAGACTGAATGATTGGTGATGCTATAAGTATTCATCTATGTGTGCTCAGTTATTTTATTCACTAGTTTTTAAACATCCAGCAGTAGAAACATTTACGTTTTAAGAGTATGCCTCATTCGAGAGATGCTCCATTGAAGAAGATCCGACTAGGTACGACGACAAAACGCCATATCGAGAAGGCGAACAACTGTGGACCATCGACTCGGACCATCAGCTGTGATGAACATAAAGACGTCGAAGCGTTAGCCGAACAAAGTTACTTGATAAACCTCGTGTAAGTTCAACAATTTAAACACATCCATTTACATTCATTTTTAAATGAATACATCATACACAGGCATGTAACGTGAACCAGTTTAAAATATATTCTACCACTTCCACCGCATCCACTACGTTAACAAATCATAAATACGGCGTTGAGGAAGACGACTAGCACTGAAAGCTTAGACATTGATAAATAAATATTATATTAACAACGTGTCAGCTTTTAAAGGACACATAGACTTACTGATCAATGTCAAGGCTAGTAGAAATTCCACCTGGGAATTGCACATGCAGTCATTTTCTGTGATCAAAAACAATTCTCGTGTTCATAGGGCAACATTAAGCCAAGAGTATAATGGTTACTACCTGTCAAACATCGGGATGTCTTGTAGATTTTGCGTACAGTTCAATTCATTGAACTTTAGGAGGCAAAAGCAAGAAAATATTACACCATCACAATATGATAGAGGAAACACTACATACTTACAACACAAATAATATGAATAAACATGTAAGATTTGAACTTGAGACTTGAAAATAACATGTAAAAAATGGTGGAAAAGTCAACCTAACACGTATTGCGACAGAAAAGTGAAACGTTTAAGCAACGGACTCCTTACTGGCTGGAAACTTCGCTTTCGACAGTAGGTACTGGATCGTTTATCCAAAGGCCCTGCAAAACTGACAAAAATATGGCTGGGTAGATAGCGGTCAACTTGAACCTTCCACGCTCTGAGGAAGGCGAAATAGGCGGAAACGTCAGCTTGGGCGTAAATTAAGAAAATAATACCACAAGACTGCTGAAAAAGAGAAACGTTTAAGCAACGGACTCCTTACCACAAGAAACCACAAGATTTGCAAAACTCCGGACCGCAGGTGTCTGCGGTGGGGAACGAGCGCGCTATTGTCCTTTCCGGGGAGTAACGTGTTCACCACCACACCATGCGGGTCCTTCGTTTCGCCTGTCTCTCAGCTATTTCTATCGATCTGTACCGTCAGCAATCACCCGTCAACGGGATTGACCTGATGAGATTGACCTCAGCTATTTCTATCGATCTGTACCGTCAGCAATCACCCGTCAACGGGATTGACCTGATGAGACAGGCGAAACGAAGGACCCGTATGGTATGGTGGTGAACACTTCACTCCCCGGAAAGGACAATAACGCGTTCGTTCCCCACCACAGACACCTGCGGCCCGGAGTTTTGCAAATATCTCAGCAATCTTGTGGCTGTATTTCGATTAATACCCTGCCATAAAAACAATAGAAAGCGGAAAATAAAAAGTAAATGTAAAGAAATAAACTTAGACGTCATGTTTGCTAAGCAAGTATATAAAGAATTGGCAAAAATATGTTGAGCAGAGGAGCATTTGAATATGAGGCACACAAACTTCGGCAGAAACAATGTTTTAATTTTCATAATCAACTAGGTGTTTAAATCCTCATCGAGAAATCGATCAGCACAGAACTCGTAACTCGTTGTTCTGCCAAGACTGACATTTAAGCTCGTATGAGAATGCACAGAAGATTCAGTCTCAGCGACAATCACCACATTTGTTCTAGATAGACCTTAAGTGACTTGGAGGTTTACTAATTCACAAGATTCTACTATCTCCATGTACAAAACATATTTCCCATGTCGATGCCATACAATGGTTCTTTGCAGTTAAATAATTTGGATTGGAGAGCCATAAGTCACCGATATGACCGGTATTTTCCAACTATTAGCAATGACAAAATGGGAATTCAACTTCCTGCTTAGAAATCATCACAATTCAAAGAGTTTTCTTAGGACATATCACAAATATGTTATCAAGCTTAAAATTTTATTGAATTTAATTTCAAAATCCTACGGATCTCCTTCATGTGAGGAATCTCGAGCCGGTTAGTCGCGAGGCTACGTGGCGCGTCCCCAGATGGCGGATAGGGGTAATCGCGGAACAAAAGCGACCTTTGCTTCCTTGAGACGCAGGTGGATCCAGGAGATAAACTTGCTGTTTCTGCTGCGCTGATTTCGCACATACTTTCTGTATTTGCTAGAGGTACTCATGCATGCGTGTGTGGGTGCGTTCTCGCTTATTTGGCTTGTATTCTACGAGTCAATTCGGTCAAATGCCTGCAATGAAGTGACTGGGAAGTATATGGGAGGCGGTTAGGAGACGCCTCCAACAAATAACCTCCATGTCCACTTTGGGAGAGCCTGGCAAGCTACCCGTGAGTATACCCAGCCCCACGCTCAGAGCCCAGCAAGCTATACGTGGGTATCAAAATACTAAACACAGTTTTAAAAAAAGGGCCTCATTCCTCTGACCCCGGAAAGAGCCCTCGTTTCTGCAGCATTGGGTAGGACGAATACGGAGAGGATGCTAAAATCTCAGGACTCCAATAGATGCTGTCTGGATTATAAAGAACTATGGTGAAGAGCTCTACCTAAAATTCACGTACACTTGCATCCGAGTCTTCGATAGAAGACTAGCTCATGCAAACAGGAAGGATAATGTACGACGCCATCGGCCTGACCAAGACGAGAAGACGCCACCTTTTGAACGCCGTCTATGACACCGGAGAAGAACTGTTCCTCGCGACATGCGACAGTAGAGGACTCGGCAGCGTCGGCATTCTCGACAACACAAATTTCTCCATGAACATCGATTCATTCGAACAGTTTACAACCTGAATTGGACATTTACGATTAAAAAGATGTGGATCAATTCCGGCTTTGACAATCTTCGTCTTTTACGCCCCGACATCAATTTATGACGAAAAAGAAGTCGAAGCGTTCTATACGAACTTGGAGAAGTTCTACAGAGAAGAC